GGTTCTTCAGACCTTGAGGGACAGTCAGTTGTACGCCAAGTTCTCAAAGTGTGAGTTCTGGTTGAGTTCAGTTGCATTCCTGGGTCATGTGGTGTCAGCAGAGGGTATTCAGGTTGATCCGAAGAAGATTGAGGCAGTCAAGAACTGGCCTAGACCAGCCTCAGCTACAGAGATCCGGAGTTTCTTGGGTCTGGCAGGCTACTATCGTCGGTTTGTAGAGGGGTTTTCATCTATCGCAACCCCGATGACCAGGTTGACCCATAAGGGTGGCTAGTTCAGGTGGTCGAACGAGTGTGAGGCGAGCTTTCAGAAGCTCAAGACAGCTCTGACTACGGCACCGGTGTTGGTTTTGCCCACAGGTTCAGGGCCTTATACAGTTTATTGTGATGCATCTCGTATTGGACTTTGTGCGGTGTTGATGCAGGATAGCAAGGTCATTGCCTATGCTTCGCGGCAGTTGAAGGTTCACGAGAAGAACTATCCAGTTCATGATTTGGAGTTGGCAGCCATTGTTCACGCGTTGAAGATTTGGAGGCATTATCTGTATGGCGTGGTATGTGAGGTGTTCACAGATCACATGAGTCTTCAATATTTGTTCAAGCAAAAGGAGTTGAATTTGAGGCAGAGGAGGTGGTTGGAGTTGTTGAAAGACTATGATATCACCATCTTATATCATCCGGGAGAGACCAATGTGGTTGCCGATGCTTTGAGTAGGAAGTCAGCCAGCATAGGAAGTCTTGTTTATATTCCGGTCAGTGAGAGACCGCTTGCTTTGGATGTTCAGGCTTTGGCCAATCAGTTCATGAGGTTGGATGTTTCTGAGCCCAGCCGTGTGTTAGCTTGCACAATCGCTCGTTCTTCATTATTGGAGCGTATCCGAGATCGGCAGTATGATGATCCCCATTTGTGTGTCCTTAGAGACATGGTGCAGCACGGAGGTGCCAAGCAGGTTACCCTAGGTGATGATGGAGTTTTGAGATTGCAGGGCCAAGTTTGTGTGCCTAATGTGGATGGTCTTCGAGAGTTGATTTTAGAGGAGGCCCATAGCTCCCGGTACTCTATTCATCCTAGCGCCGCTAAGATGTATCAGGATTTGCGGGAACATTATTGGTGGAGAAAGATGAAGAAGGATATCGTTGCATATGTGGCTCGGTGTTTGAACTGTCAGCAGGTTAAGTACGAGCATCAGAGGCCCGGTGGTTCATTTTAGAGGATTGAGCTTCCCGAGTGGAAGTGGGAGCGGATCACTATGGACTTCGTTACTGGACTCCCACGGACTCAGAAGAAGTTCGATGCAGTGTGGGTCATTGTTGATAGGCTGACCAAGTCAGCGCATTTCATTCCTGTGGCAGTCTCCTATTCTTCCGAGAGGTTAGCTGAGATCTATATTCGGGAGATTGTTCGTCTTCATGGTGTGCCCGTGTCTATTATTTCAGACCGAGGTACGCAGTTTACCTCACATTTTTGGAGAGCAGTTCAGCGAGAGTTGGGCACACGGGTTGAGTTGAGCACAGCATTTCATCCTCAGACGGACGGGAAGTCCGAGCGGACTATTCAAATTTTGGAGGATATGCTCCGAGCTTGTGTCATTGACTTTGGAGGCTCGTGGGATCAGTTTTTGCCTTTAGCGGAGTTTGCCTACAACAACAGCTACCAATCGAGTATTCAGATGGCTCCTTATGAGGCTTTATATGGTAGATGGTGTCGGTCTCCGGTTGGATGGTTTGAGCCGGGAGAGGCTCGGTTGTTGGGTACGGATCTTGTTCAGGATGCCTTGGACAAGGTCAGGATTATTCAGGACAGGCTTCGTACAGCTCAGTCCAGGCAAAAGAGCTATGCTGACTGCAAGGTTTGTGATTTGGCATTCATGGTTGGTGAGCGGGTATTACGTCGAGTGTCGCCTATGAAAGGCGTGATGAGATTTGGGAGAAGGGCAAGCTTAGCCCTAGGTTCATTGGCCCGTTTGAGATTCTTGATCGAGTGGGAGAGGTGGCTTATAGACTTGCATTGCCGCCGAGCTTATCAGCCGTGCATCCAGTGTTTCATGTGTCCATGCTTCGGAAGTATCACTGTGATCCATCCCACGTGTTAGATTTCAGCATTATCCAGTTGGACAAGGACTTGTCTTATGAGGAGGAGCCGGTAGCTATTCTAGACCGGCAGGTTCGCAGTTGAGATCGAAGAGTTTTCCTTATGTTTGTGTTCAGTGGAGAGGTTAGCCTCCTAAGGCATCGACCTGGGAGTCCGAGTCCGATATGCGGAGCCGTTATCCCCATCTTTTCTGCGACTCAGGTACTTCCTTCTTCTGTCCGTTCGAGGACGAACGGTTGTTTTAGAGGTGGAGAATGTGATGACCCAAAAGGTCATCACTTGTTTTTAAAATGAATTCTGCGTTCCGACGTCTCAAAAAAACTCTTTTAGCATCACCTCGATTTGCGTGCACAGTTCGGGCGTGTAGCCGAAAAGCCTATATGTAATAATCTGTGAAAAATGGTAAATTTTGACTATAACATGAATTAATTTGACTTCGGTCAACGTTTTGGGTAAACGGACCCGGACCCGTGATTTGACAGTCCCAGAGGGTCCGTAGGAAAATATGGGACCTGGGCGTATGCCCGGAATCGAATTCTGAGGTCCCAAGCCCGAGAAATGAATTTTTAAAGAAAATTGTTTTCTGAAATTGTTTAAAAGATTTGGAAGTGAATTTTGATTAGGAAATGTTGGTATCGGGCCCGTATTTTGGTTCCGGCGCCCGGTAAAGGTTTTATATATGATTTAAGATAATTCTGTGAAGTTTGGTAAGAAACGGAATCCGTTTGACGTGATTCGGACCATAAATGCAAAATTGATGTTTAAGGAAGTTTTGAGAAAGTTTCATTGATCTTGAGGTTTAATTTGATGTTCATGATGTTATTTTGGTGATTAGAGTGCACGGATAAGTCTGTAGGATGTTTTTGAGGTTGGGTGTATATTTGGTTTGGAGCCCCGAGGGCTCGGGTGAGTTTTGGATAGGCCACGGAGTGCATTTCGGACTTAGAAAATTGCAGAATTTTTGCTGGTGTGATCAGACCTGCAGGCTTCGCAATTCCGAAGCCTAGCTCGCAAATGCGACTATTGCAAATGCGAGGGCACGGTCGCAAATGCGAACCAGCCCAGGTCTGCCTTATCTCGCAAATGCGAGTGATATTTCGCAATTCCGGCCTCGCAAATGCGAGGATCCCTTCGCAAATGCGAAGCTCATCAGCCTGGCCAGTGATCGCAAATGCGACTAATTTGTAGCAAATGCGGAAGTCGCAAATGCAAAAGTCCAGAATATCTGAAGGATTCGCAATTGCGAACCCCTTTTCGCAATTCCCACATCTGAGACCTGCAATTTTTATACTTAGTCGAATTTTTAACCAATTTACATATCCTCTCAAAACAAAAACACACTTAGGCGATGTTTCAAGGATTTCTTCTTCTCCAAATCAATTGTAAGTCGTTTTTAACTAACTTTCTTCAATTCTTAACATCTTTTAATATGATTTCAACTTCATATCAATGATTTTCATGGGGGAAATTGGGTGATTTGGGTAGAACCTAGGTTTTTCAAAAATTGGGGATTTGGACCTCGATTTGAGGTCCGATTTCAAAACAAATAATATATTTGAGTTCGTGGGGGAATGGGTAATCGGGTTTTGGTTCGAACCCCGGGTTTTTACTATGTGGGCCCGGGGGCAATTTTTGACTTTTTGGGTAAAACTCTAGAAAACTCATCTTCATGCATTAGAATTGATTCATTTAGCGTTTATTGATGTAATTAAGTAAATTGTGGCTAGATACGAATGAATTGGTGGTGGAATCGAGGGGTAAAGCTATAATTGAAGCGTGAATTGTGTTTATGGCATCGAGGTAAGTGTTTGGTCTAACCTTAGCTTGAGGGATTAGGAGTTGAGTCCTATTTGTTAAGTGTTAATTGTTGAGTACAATGTATAGGAATGGTGACGAGTATCTATACGTTGGTGTCTAGCATGCCCGTGAGTCTTTATATTGTGATTTTCATGACTTCGTGGTATCTTTCATGCCTTGGCGATGGTTTCTATATGTTGTGTAAAGTTTGTGGAAGGAATTGTGACTCATGAACATTGAGGAGCGTTGGCTCAAGTTATGTAACAAATTGTGAAAGTGTAAGAGATAATTAAATCTCTAGAGCATTGGCTCGAGTTATGAAGTGAATGGTGAAGTAAAAGTGAGAAAGAAAAAAAGTTATCATGTTGACACCCTTGCCGGGCTATTGTTGATTTATTTGTTATCTCCCTTGCCGGGATGTTGATATTATTGATGTTGTTCCCTTGCCGGGATTTATTTGTTGAAATGTTGTTCCCTTGCCGGGATCTTTATTGCAATTTCATTTATTCCCTTGCCCTATTGTTTGTGATTGTTGTTTGGGTGAGGAAGAGCGTTAAAGCATGAAGGGTGATGTCGTGCATTGTTTGTATTGTGAGGAAAGAGTGTAAAGCACGAAGGGTGATGCCGTGCCGATTTTATTGATTATTGTGAGGAAAGAGTGTAAAGCACGAAGGGTGATGCTGTGCCGCACCATGTACCATTCCGTGCCGATTTTATTGATTATATGGTGAGGAGACAGAGTAAAAGCATGAAGGGTGATGCCGTGCACATTTTTATTTTATGATTGCTTTGGTGAGGACGAGAGTAAAAGCACGAAGGGTGATGCCGTGCATTTATTGAATTCTGATTCTTGTCAATATTTGAGTTATGTTATTTCTTTCGTTTATTTAATGTATTCTATTCGGAATTGCTATCTCCCCCAGCAGCATGCTCCCCTCCCATTTTGACTAGTTATTTCTGTGTCTCTTTTCCGCTGTATATATATTTGAACTGCACAGGTTTATGTGGTAGTCTGGTCTAGCCTCGTCACTACCTCGCCGAGGTTAGGCTAGGCACTTACTAGCACATGGGGTCGGTTGTGCTGATGCTACACTCTGCACTCTTTTGTGCAGATCCCAGTGCTGTTAACTTCGGGCCGTAGGTTGGAGGCTATTTTTAGTTCACGTGGAGATCCAAGGTAGACCTGCAGGCGTCCGCAGGCCCTGGCGTCTCCTCTATCCTTATTTCCTGTTTCATTTTCCTTATATTCAGAAACAGTGTATTGATATTTTGTTCAAACTTTGTATGTAGTAAATCTTAGACCGTCTGTGATACTGTGACACCAATTCTGGGTAGTCGAGGTTCAAACAGTTGTATTAGATATTCATGTTCAGATAGCTTATGGCTTCTTTCTTCCGCTTATGTTAAATTCCACTGTTTAAATGTTATATAAAATGAGTAACAAGGGTATATTGTGAAATTAATTGGCTTGCCTAGCTCGTGCTAGCAGGCGCCATCACGACTCCCGAGGGTGGGAATCCGGGTCGTGAGAGTTAAATAACTAACAGCATATTTGTGCACATAAATAAGGTAGAGTACAATTTTAATTCTGAAAGTTAGTTCAAAGAATCACGAATGAGATTGAAAATCACAGGGAATCAGCACTAACTAAGGAAAGTATCACAAAAAAAAATTCGAAAAATCAGTACAGAATTACAAGGAAAATATACAAAATCACAGATTCAGGGAAGATATAGCAGGTCTAAGGAGATTACACAAAATCAATATAAATTATTATGTGGACAGTCAATGAAACAAATAGTCGGACCTATTAAACGATAAATAACATGTGTTGAACAGAATCAGAGAAACCCTAGGAACAAATTAGAGCAGGAAGCACAAGAGCATATAGAACATACATGAGACCTAGAATGTTCATGAGAGACATGCAAACACATCGCAAACAGACTCAAACTTCAAATCGAACCCAGAAGTATTAGGGTTTCTTAACAGAAATGAATCGAGCAAAAGGAAAGACTCAGGTGATGTTTAAATATGCTAAAAATCACAAAGTAATTGCTAAAAATCAGAAAGAAATCGTTTTTTGCAAAAGGGTTTTGAAACCCTAGTCTGGAAAATGAAGAAATCGTTTTAAATCAAAGAAATCTTTTGAGGAAAATAGGTGAGAACCATAAAAGACACATAGATCCATCACAGATCTAAAAAGATCAGAGGATTTAAAGCTAGGGTTTCCAGAGAAAACCCAAAGGAGGAGAAGAGAGCTTAAAATATCACCGGCCTTTGGCTGGAAAATGTAGAGATCTTACTCGAACGGCCATAGGTGGCCGGAAAATATGGCATGAGACCGGAGATGGGAGTAGACCGTCTCAGGGTCACTTGAGAGCCTCCACTGGTGACACGGGTGTGAAAGACGGATCCATAAGGTTGATAAGAGGTGGAAACTTCATGGTTTCCGGTGAGGAGATGGCCGGAGAGGGGAGAGACAGAGCTCAGGAGACGAAGGTTCTAGAGAGAGTTGAGAGGATTCAGAGAGACGGGTGAGAAGTGAGACGGGGGAAAAAATGAGAAAAGGGGGGTAGTCGTTTAGGGGTTAATATGGTAAGTATTAATCTGGGCCGTTGATTTGAATTAATCAACGGCTTAGATCGAACGAGGGTTGGGCCGGGTATGATTTTAAGTTTGGGTTGGGTAACTGGGCTAGTTTATTGGGTTAGGGATCTGGGTTAATTAGGCTCGAATTGAAATTTAAAAATGGCTAGTTGTTAAATACCCCATAAAATAGATAAATAACTTATAAAAATGGCTAATAATCGTAAAATTTGAAATTGATGCTNGCGAACTAGGGAATGGAGGCCCTATACGTCTTAAAAAGGCACAACTCAGGGATTGGAGCCCTAATGTTGGCAAAAAGGCGACTAGGGAATGGAGGCCCTACGTCTAAATCTCATCAACTCAGGGATTGGAGCCCTAATGTTGGTAAAAGGCGACTAGGGAATGGAGGCCCTATGTCTAAAAAGCTCAACTCAGGGATTGGAGCCCTAATGTTGGCAAAAGGCGACTAGGGAATGGAGGCTCTATGTCTAAAAAACTCAACTCAGGGATTGGAGCACTAATGTTGGTAAAAAGGCGACTAGGGAATGGAGGCCTTATGTCTAAAAAGCTCAACTCAGGGATTGGAGCCCTAATGTTGACAAACGGCGACTAGGGAACGTAGGCCCTATGTCTAAAATCTCAACTCAGGGATTGGAGCTCTAATGTTGGCAAAAGGTGATTAGGGAATGGAGGCCCTATGTCTAAAAATCTCAACTCATGGATTGGAGCCCTAATGTTGGCAAAAAGGCGACTAGGGAATGGAGGCCCTATGTCTAAAAACTCAACTCAGGGATTGAAGCCCTAATGTTGGTAAAAAGGCGACTAGAGAATGGAGGCCCTTTGTCTAAAATATCAACTCAGGGATTGAAGCCCTAATGTTGGTAAAAGGCGACTAGGGAATGGAGGCCCTCTATCAAAAAACTCAACTCAGGGATTAGAGCGCTAATGTTGGTAAAAAGGCGACTAGGGAATGGAGGCCCTATGTCTAAAAAGCTCAACTCAGGGATTGGAGCCCTAATGTTGGCAAAAGGCGACTAGGGAATGGAGGCCCAATGTCTAAAAACTCAACTCAGGGATTGGATCCCTAATGTTGGTAAAAAGGCGACTAGGGAATGGAGGCCCTACGTCTAAATCTCAACTCAAGGATTAGAGCCCTAATGTTGGTAAAAGGCGACTAGGGAATGGAGGCCCTATGTCTAAAAACTCAACTCAGGGATTGGAGCCCTAATGTTGGCAAAAAGGCGACTAAGGAATGGAGGCCCTATGTTTAAAAAGCTCAACTCTGGGATTGGAGCCCTAATGTTGGAAAAAGGCGACTAGGGAATGGAGGCCCTATGTCTAAAAATCTCAACTTAGGGATTGGAGCCCTAATGTTGACAAACGGCGACTAGGGAATGGAGACCCTATGTCTAAAATCTCAACTCAGTGATTGGAGCTCTAATGTTGGCAAAAGGCGATTAGGGAATGAAGGCCCTATGTCTAAAAATCTCAACTCAGGGATTGGAGCCCTAATGTTGGCAAAAAGGCGACTAGGGAATGGAGGCCCTATGTCTAAATATTTCAACTCAGGGATTGGAGCCCTAATGTTGGCAAAAAGGCGACAAGGGAATTGAGGCCCTATGTCTAAAATCTCAACTCAGGGATTGAAGCACTAATGTTGGTAAAAGGCGACTAGGGAATGGAGGCCCTATGTCTAAAAACTCAACTCAGGGATTGGAGCCCTAATGTTGGCAAAAAGGCGACTAGGGAATGGAGGCCCTATGTCTAAAAACTCAACTCAGGGATTGGAGCCCTAATGTTGGCAAAAGGCGACTAGGGAATGGAGGCCCTATGTCTAAAAGGCTGAACTCAGGGATTGGAGCCCTAATGTTGGAAAAAGGCGACTAGGGAATGGAGGCCCTATGTCTAAAAGCTCAACTCAGGGATTGGAGCCTTAATGTTGGCAAAAGGCCATTAGGGAATGGAGGCCCTATGTCTAAAAATCTCAACTCAGGGATTGGAGCCCTAAAATGGCAACTAGGGAATGGAGGCCCTATGTCTAAAAATCTCAACTCAGGGATTGGATCCCTAATGTTGGCAAAAAGGCGACTAGGGAATGGAGGCCCTATGTCTAAAATCTCAACTTAGGGATTTGAGCCCTAATGTTCGCAAACAAAAAAGTAAAGATTGGGGTCCTAACCTACCATTTTTTTTTAATTTTCTTCTTATCTCTTTTTTTTTCATTTCAATTTCCTTTCTCTTTTTTTTTTATTTCATTTCAAGGAATGAGTAAATGCAGAAAAAACTTGGAGGGGACTTCCCTTTTTATGGGTTGTTGCTGCAAAGCTGTTTTTAGCACTCGCGCATTTCTTTTTCCCTTTTGGTTGCACCTGCTTCTTGCATGGTTGCTTTGGATTGCACCTGTTTCAAATTTTTGAACAAAGAACAATTGTTAGTTTGAAACGGCGGTTGGTTTGTGGCCTTGATTGTTTTGATCACTTGATCTCGGCTCTTTCAACTGCAACTGGTTGCTTCCTGAATACCGATTGCCTTTCTGACTCAGGAGAAACTCTAGCTTTTCCAGACTTTGTCATGATGATTGGTCGGCAAAGCTCAACCTTTTCGACTTTATTTTGCCCTCGTAGGCCTTTCCTTTCTGACTTCCTTTTCATTTTCTTTTTTTTTCTTTTTTTTGCTTTTCTTTTCTTTTCTTTGGAACATTGGGGAACTTTTGGCTCCTCAAACTTTGCTATAATGGCTAGTCGCATGGGACTTAACCTCTTCCAACTTTATTTTGCCTTCATAAGCGCTCCATTTGATTTTCTCTTTCCAAGAGTTTTGATTTCGAAGCATCGGCCGCCATGGCTAGTCGGGGTCGACTTGATGCCCGTGACGAGGCTGGGTGCCTTTCTGCACATTAGCTCACGCCAAATGAGGACCCTGTAAATCAGTCTTGCCATCCTTTCTTTGTCTTAGTTTCGGAATAGTGTTAGACCGAAAGGGATTGAAAGAAAACTAACAATGGAATGGAGAATGAGTTTAAAACAAGAAGTGTCCCTTTCGGGGAAAGGAAAGAAGGACTTATCTGGAGTACATGCGGACTTCAATGAACATGACATGCCTTTTGGACTGGATGCCTGATCTGTGTAAGCCGTCCGACTCTCATAAATTCATCACAACTTTTGCTTCAAAATTCGAGAAACCTTGCCAGGACTTTGTCGGCGCCGATGGCTGTGAGGATCCTCTTCGATCAGGGGCGCCCTTTGCGAGTTTTCACGAGCTGACCTCTCTCATTTCTCTTCTCACCATCGCCATATAGTGCATTTGCGAGTTTTCACTAACAAGACTCTCTCATATTTCATTTCTCTGCTTACCATCGCCTCATGGTGCCCGTGTGAGTTTTCACCAATAAGACTCTTCGATCAGGGGCGCCTTGTGGATTTTGTAACAGTATGACATAAATTAAAAAAAAATAGCTTTTAGATGAACCGACGACTGTGACGTAGTTCAGGACATTGCAACCTCTCCTGCTAACGGAATTTTGAGGGCCCTCCTCAAAATTCTACCCCAGTTTGATAGGTTGACCTTTCTGACTGCTGCTCGTGGGGCGATTGGCTGAAATTACTTCGGAATTTTGAGGGTCCTCCTCAAAATTTTGCCCCAGTTTCCGATTACGGGGGGAAATGAAAGTTTTATTGAATTGTGACCGAACCCATAGGGCTGCCTACGTATCCCCTCTTAAACGAGAATCAGGTCAGGCGTAGTTCAATTTACATCATATAAGGAAAGCATAAAGATTACACATAGTAACACTTGACTGCATCTGAATTGATCGGCATTGGCCAGACTTCCCCATCCATTTCAGCAAGTATGAGGGCTCCTCCTGTCAAAACCCGGTGAACCATGTATGGACCCTGCCAGTTGGGAGAGAACTTCCCTTTGGCTTCATCTTGATGCGGAAAAATTTTCTTTAACACCAGCTGCCCCGGTGTGAACTGTCCTTGCTTGACTCTTTTGTTGAAGGCTCTGGACATTCTGTTCTAGTAGAGTTGACCATGGAAGACTGCATTCATTCTCTTTCCGTCTACAAGGGCTAGTTGCTCATAACGACTTTATACCCACTCTGCGTCGTCGAGCTCAGCTTCTTGCATGATCCTTAGGGAAGGAATTTCTACCTCAGTGGGAATGACAGCCTCTGTACCGTAAACCAGCATATAGGGGGTTGCCCCGGTTGATGTGTGGACTGCGGTGCGATATCCCAGTAGATCAAATGATAACTTCTCGTGTCACTGTCTATGCTTCTCTATCATTTTTCTCAATATCTTCTTGATATTCTTGTTGGCGGCTTCTACAGCTCCATTCATCTGAGGCATGTAGGCTGTGGAATGTTTGTGTTTGATCTTGAAAGTTTCGCACATAGCTTTCATCAAGTTGCTGTTGAGGTTGGAGCCATTATCAGTAATGATTGACTCTGGAATTCCGAATCGACAAACAATGCGGTCGCGGACAAAGTCTGCCACGACTTTCTTAGTCACCGCTTTGTAAGATGCTGCTTTGACCCATTTGGTGAAATAGTCTATGGCTACTAGGATGAACCTGTGTCCAATGGAAGCGGCAGGCTCGATTGGTCCAATAACGTCCATTCCCCAGGTGGCGAACGGCCACGGTGAGCTTGTTGTCTTAAGCTCGCTTGGAGGTACCTTTATCATGTCTGCATGTATCTGACAACGGTGGCATTTCCAGACATACTGGATGCAGTCCGTTTCCATAGTCATCCAAAAGTAACCAGCTCGGAGTATCTTCTTTGCTAAGACAAAACCGTTCATATGTGGACCGCAGGTCCCAGCATGAATTTCCTCTAGTAGCTTGGATGCTTCTTTTTCGTCGACACATCTTAATAATCCTAAATCGAGAGTCCTCCTATATAGGATTCCTCCACTGTGAAAGAAGTTGTTGGACAATCTCTGAAGTGTGCATTTCTGTGTAGGATTCGCAAGCTCCGGGTACTCTCCTTTTGCCAAATATTCCTTGATATCATGAAACCAAGGCTTTCCGTCTGCTTCCTCTTCAACATGGGCACAGTAAGCTGGCTGATTATGGATTTTCACCGGAATGGGATCAATGAAATTCTTGTCGGGATGCTGTACCATAGATGATAGGGTAGCCAATGCATCAGCGAACTCATTCTGGATTCTGGAAACATACTGGAATTCCATCTTTGTGAACCTCTTTCTCAATTCCTGTACGTGATGCAGATACGGGAGTATCTTGGAGTTCTTGGTTTCCCATTCTCCTCGTACCTGATGTATAAGTAAGTCTGAATCTCCAATCACTAGCAGCTCTTGAACGTTCATGTTAATGGCCATTTTGAGTCCTAAGATGCAGGCTTCATATTCGGCCATATTGTTGGTGCAGGGGAACCTGAGTTTGGCAGACACCAGATAATGCTGACCGATTTCTCATATTAGGACTGCTCCTATGCCAACTCCATTGAAGTTTGCTGCTCCATCGATGAACATTCTCCAACCGTCATATGATTCCGCAATGTCTTCTCCTATGAATGATACCACTTCATCAGGAAAATACGTTTTCAAGGGTTCGTATCCTCCATCCACGGGGTTTTCAGCAAGGTGGTCTGCCAGTGCCTGTCCCTTGACCGCTTTCTGAGTTACGTAAATAATGTTGAACTCACTCAACAGGATTTGCAACTTGGCTAGCTTGCCAGTGGGCATGGGCTTCTGAAAGATGTACTTCAAGGGATCCATTCTCGATATGAGATATGTAGTATAGGCACAGAAGTAATGTCTCAACTTCTCAGCTACCCAAGTCAAAGCACAACAGGTGCGTTCCAATAGAGAATACCGGGCCTCGTGCGGGGTGAACTTCTTACTGATATAATAAATGGCTTGCTACTTCCTACCTGTTTCATCGTGTTGCCCCAGGACGCAGCCGAAAGCTCCATCTAACACCGCAAGGTAGAGTAATAAGGGTCTACCTGGCTCGGGCGGGACTAAGACTGGTGGTGTTGACTGGTACTCTCTGATTTTGTCGAAGGCCTTTTGGCAGTCATCGGTCCATTTGGTGGCGGCGTCCTTCTTTAACATTTTGAAGATCGGCTCACAAATAACTGTAGACTGTGCTATGAATCGGCTGATGTAGTTAAGCCTTCCCAAGAAACTCATCACATCTTTCTTGTTTCTTGGCGGTGGTAGTTCTTGAATGGCTTTGAATTTCGATGGATCCAGTTCTATTCCTCGGCGGCTCACAAGAAACCCAAGCAATTTCCCAGCAAGAACCCCAAATGCGCACTTTGCGGGGTTTAGTTTCAGGTTGTATCTCCGCAGTCTATTGAAGAACTTCCTCAGATCTTCTATGTGGTCAGTGGCCTTCTTGGATTTGATAATAACATCATCCACATATACCTCTGTCACACCTCCTTTTTACACACCACCCCGAAGGATAGTATATAAGGGAGTTTTTCCAATTAAAGTGACATTATTCGAAATGGGATTATTTATTTGCCAGAGTCGCCACTTGGGATAGTTCAATTTTGGTGTCCCAAGTCACCGATTTATTTTGAATCCCAAATCGAGGAAAATTTCGACTTTCCTTTTGAAGTCTGCGAACCAGAAATTCTGAATAAGGAATTCTGTTAACCCGGGGGAAGGTGTAAGGCACCCCCGGATTCCGTGGTTCTAGCACGGTCGCTTAAACTATCACAATTGGCCTATTATCTTATTTTAATACATGTTTTAGCCTACTGTTCAATTACAACTTATTAATCGCTTTAAATTATTTTTAAGAAGGTTTCAACGTCATCTAAAACACGTCTTTGGACCACGCCACATGAAATGCACCCGCAGTCCGAGACACATTTTAGTTAACATTGTTGAGATTTGGATTTGGGTCACATAAAATGCACACCCGAGTTTAGGAAGGTAATTTTTAAAATAGCGCGCCTAAAGCAACTATGCGCTTTCAACTTTGCGAGGGCCATGGAAATTCGACTAAATGGCACGCCTCGATTTCTAAAGATTCAGAATATTAATTAAATGAGGGCCATGGGCTTTGAGATTTTATTTGGCATGGCACGCCTCAAATTATTTTACAAGATTTGTACTCAATTAAAGCAATCTAGGCACGATTACATAAAATTGGATTGCAAAGTAAATCCAAGAAAACCTAATGCGCTCAACGGCTACAATCAAATAGATGGTAGTAACTCATAATTACCTCTATCAGTTAAAAGTTAAATTTAGTCATGTTCAAGTGGATTGCAGAACTATCCAAGAAAAAGGAATACTAAAACTTAACATAGACCAAAATAAAACTCAATCAATAGTATTGACTCAAAGTTATCGCAGATAATGATTTACCTCTACTACTTTTTTTTTAAAAAAAAAAAATTAAGCATGGGAAAATAGTCAATCGAAAAACATGCTACACTTAGCACCTATGAAACTAAAAAAATAAAAAATAAAATCTAGTCAAAGTAGTCATTCATAATTACAATAATATAAAAATCATGATTACCTCTACTAGTCGAAATGGCAATTAAGTATAGGAAAATAGCGGTCTTTAACCAAGTTTTGTCATCCATGCCCTCATGAGCAAATTTCTTTCAATATATGAACTTGATTACAACTAAGCTTTGGCGGCTTCTTTCAGCAATCGTGGAACAGCAACGGAGCAACAGGAACCGCGGACTTCTGCCGGAATCACAGCCGGAAATTGATCGACACAAACAGAACCTCCAACGGCACCGCAAACTCAAACCAAACACAAACTCCACACCAAATTTCCATCAAATTCCATTTTTTTGGAACAAGCATACGAAATTAAGATGGAGAAACAGATATATACTTTTTGATTATTCTCTGTTTTTTTGGAAATTAAACTATGTCTAAAAATCTGAGAAAATGAAAAATAAAAATAGACAGAGAATTTTCTTTGTAAATCCTAGCTTCTTTCCCCACCTCCCTGCTGTATCTATGTGTGTGTGAGTGTTTTTTTTTATATGGGAACTAAAAGAGAAGGGGAGCCTCTTCTGTCCAGAAGAAGAGCTACGTTCAGAATGGGGAGGGGTCATTTGTTTCGTGATGTCTTCATGAAAAATTGGAGAAGAAGAGTCCAAAAGATGCGCCGTTCTCTGTTATCTGTTAGGCAAGGGATCTAATTCTCTCAAAAATCTGATCTATTTTTGTGCCTTAGCTCCCCTTTTATGTGAGGGATCAGGGCAAAGGGTAATGGGTATTTGGGTAGGGAGATTGGGCTTTGAGTGGGTTATTGGGTTTGGGCAGATTTGGGTATAGGCCTTGGGCTCAGCATTAATTTTGGCCCAATTTCACAAGAAAAACCTTTCTTCTCCAATTCTTTCTTTTATTTTCTAATTTTTCCTTTTTTTAATTAAAATCCTACAAATTAAAAATCCGAAATTATCCAAAAGAGTGGAATTAAACTAATTAGCTAATTGTAAAAATTATAAAACTACTTAATCCTAAATTAAAAGAAAAAAAAATCAATAAAAGGAAAAAGTGTAAAAATGAAGCATTTTTTGTGATTTTCGATTTTTATAAAATAAATAATTACTAATTAATCCTAAAAATATAAAGATAAAGCCTAAATGCAATGCATGATATTTTTTGGTATTTTTCATGATTTAAATAAAACTTAAACATGCACAAAATGCAAAAAATTAAATAAAATTCTACAAAAATATCTAAAATGGCCGATAATTAAGAAAAAATCTATTTTCTTGGGATTTATAGGAGTATTTCGTATAGGGCAAAAATCACGTGCTTACAGCTGCCCCTCTTTGCTCGGAAACATGAAAAGTTTTCGGGCAAAGATAAAGTGAGCAATATGAGGGATTTTTGCCCGTTTGAAACTCCATGGGAAGCATTTTTGTATGACCGAACCTTGCTTCAAAGGTTGCCTACATATCCTTGGCTATAAAGGAATCAGGTCAGTGTAGTTCTGAAAGTTTTGGTAGCTGGGACTACCGAGAAGCTGTGATTTCACTGTTGCTGTTGTTGCTACTGCTTGCTAAACTCCTTATTACACCAAAATGGAAAATAAAAGAGCTAAGCTAGCTAATCCTATCAACTATGAGTTACAAGATTCCTATCTATAAATCTTTTGAAGCTTGATCTTGAGTCTTAGCTGGTTCTTGCTGCGGACTCTAATATGAATCTTGATGCTCGTCAGCTGTAGGTACTGGTCCTTTCTGCAGCTTTGGATCAAGGCGGGACATGCGAAGCTTGTGACTTCAATTATATCTTGAGCAGTCTGCATCCTTCTCCACTTCGGTACTTTGAGTTTACTTCTTTTTGTTCTTTTCTTCTTTTCTTTATTTTGGATTGAGACTCATTCTTTTGGTCATCTCGAATCCTGTGCCGAGGTCAAACCTGCTCAGACACCAAAAATAAACAAACAAACGAAATTTTTCTGCCCCAATTTTCACTAGGAATATTTCGTGAGTTATTTTCAACACAAATCTAAACTACTTCTTCATTGAAAGCAATAAAAATCAGGATTGTGTATCCTTGGGAATGAGAGTGAAGCCTTGAATTGGGAGGATTACCAGGTTATGCTGGAAAAATGACCGGTTTATGCCGGAAAATAAATGGGTCCTCGGGTTATGCCGGGGATATCCGCGGGTTATGCCGGGGTAAAGAAAAAAAAAAGGGTCCTCGGCTTATGCCGGGAAGGTCCGCGGGTTATGCCGGGATAAAAGAAAAAAAGGTCCTTGGGTTATGCCAGGGAGGTCCACGGGTTATGCCGGGATAAAAGAAAAAAGGTCCTTGGGTTATGCCAGGGAGGTCCACGGGTTATGCCGGGATAAAAAAAAAAAGGTCCTTGAATTATGCCAGGGAGGTCCACGGGTTATGCCGGGATAAAAGAAAAAGGTCCTTGGGTTAAGCCAGGGAGGTCCACGGGTTATGCCGGAATAAAAGAAAAAAGGTCCTTGTCTAAAAAGCTCAACTCAAGATTGGAGCCCTAATGTTAGCAAAAGGCGACTAGGGAATGGAGGCCCTATGTCTAAAAATCTCAACTCAAGAATTGGAGCCCTAATATTGGCAAAAGGCGACTAGGGAATGGACGCCCTATGTCTAAAATCTCAACTCAGGGATTGGAGCCCTAATGATGGTAAAAAGGCGACTAGGGAATGGAGGCCCTATGTCTAAAAACTCAACTCAGGGATTGGAGCCCTAATGTTGGTAAAAAAGGCGACTAGGGAATGGAGGCCCTATGTCTAAAAATCTCAACTCAGGGATTGGAGCCCTAATGTTGGCAAAAGGCGATAGGGAATGGAGGCCCTATGTCTAAAAATCTCAAATCAGGGATTGGAGTCCTAATGTTGGTAAAAGGCGACTAGGGAATGGAGGCCCTATGTCTAAAAACTCAACTCAGGGATTGGAGCCCTAATGTTGGTAAAAGGCAACTAGGGAATGGAGGCCCTATGTCTAAAAACTCAACTCAGGGATTGGAGCCCTAATGTTGGTAAAAGGTGACTAGGGAATGGTGGCCCTATGTCTAAAATGTCAACTCAGGGATTGGAGCCCTAAAGTTTGGAAAAAGGCGACTAGGGAATGGAGGCCCTATGTGTAAAAATACAACTCAGGGATTGGAGCCCTAATGTTGGCTAAAAGGCGACTAGGGAATGGAGGCCCTATGTCTAAAAACTCAACTCAGGGATTGGAGCCCTAATATTGGTAAAAGGCGACTAGGGAATGGTGGCCCTATGTCTAAAAACTCAACTCAGGGATTAGAGCCCAAATGTGGGTAAAAAGGCGACTAGGGAATGGAGGCCCTATGTCCAAAAAGCTCAACTAAGGGATTGGAGCCCTAATGTTGGCAAAAAGGCGACTAGGGAATGAAGGCCCTATGTCGAAAAAGTTCAACTCAGGGATTGGAGCCCTAATGTTGGCTAAAAGGCGACTAGGGAATGGAGGCCCTATGTCTAAAAACTCAACTCAGGGATTGGAGCCCTAATGTTGGTAAAAGGCGACTAGGGAATGGAGGCCCTATGTCTAAAAACTCAACTCAGGGATTGGAGCCCTAATGTTGGTAAAAAGGCGACTAGGGAATGGAGGCCCTATGTCTAAAAACTCAACTCAGGGATTGGAGCCCTAATGTTGGTAAAAAGGCGACTAGGGAATGGAGGCCCTATGTCTAAAATCTCAACTTAGGGATTGGAGCCCTAATGTTGGAAAAAGGCGACTAGGGAATGGAGGCCCTATGTCTTAAAACTCAACTCAGGGATTAGAGACCTAATATTGGTAAAAGGCGACTAGGGAATGGAGGCCCTATGTATCAATACTCAACTCAGAGATTGGAGCCCTAATGTTGGTAAAAAGGCGACTAGGGAATGGAGGACCTATGTCTAAAAATCTCAACTCAGGGATTGGAGCCCTAATGTTGGTAAAAAGGCGACTAGGGAATGGAGGCCCTATGTCTAAAAAGCTCAACTCGGGGAGTGGAGCCTAATATTGGTAAAGGCGACTAGGGAATGGAGGCCCTATGTCTAAAAACTCAACTCAGGGATTGGAGCCCTAATGTTGGTAAAAGGCGACTAGGGAATGGAAGCCCTATGTCTTAAAACTCAACTCAGGGATAAGAGCCCTAATATTGGTAAAAAGGCGACTAGGGAATGCAGGCCCTATGTCTAAAAAGCTCAACTCAGGGATTGGAGCCCTAATGTTGGCAAAAAGGCGACTAGGGAATGGAGGCCCTATGTCTAAAAAGCTCAACTCAGGGATTGGAGCCCTAATGTTGGCAAAAGGCGACTAGGGAATGGAGGCCCTATGTCTAAAAGCTCAACTCAGGGATTGGAGCCCTAATGTTGGCGAAAGGCGACTAGGGAATGGAGTTCCTATGTCTAAAAATCTCAACTCAGGGATTGGAGCCCTAATGTTGGCAAAAGGCGACTAGGGAATGGAGTTCCTATGTCTAAATATCTCAACTCAGGGATTGGAGCCCTAATGTTGGCAAAAAGGTGACTAGGGAATAGAGGCCCTATGTCTAAAAATTTCAACTGAGTGATTGGAGCCCTAATGTTTGCAAAAAGGCGACTAGGGATAGGCCCTATGTCTAAAATCTCAACTTAGGGATTTGATCCCTAATGTTGGCAAACAAAAAAGTAGAGATTGGGGTCCTAAACTACCATTTTTTTTTGAATTTTCTTCTTATCTCTCTTTTTTTTCATTTCAATTTCCTTTCTCTTTTTTTTCTTTCATTTCAAGGAATGAGTAAATACAGAAAAAACTTGGAGGGGACTTCCCTTTTTATGGTTTGTTGCTGCAAAGCTGTTTTTAGCACTCGCGCATTTCTTTTTCCCTTTTGGTTGCACCTGCTTCTTCCATGGTTGCTTTGGATTGCACCTGTTTGAAATTTTCGAACAAAGAACAATTGTTTGTTTGAAACGGTGGTTTGTTTGTGGCCTTGATTGTTTTGATCACTTGATCTCGGCTCTTTCAACTGCAACTGGTTGCTTCCTGAATACCGATTGCCTTTTTGACTCTGGAGAAACTCTGGCTTTTCCAGACTTTATCATGATGATTGGTCGGCAAAGCTCAACCTTTTCGACTTTATTTTGCCTTCGTAGGCCTTTCCTTTCTGACTTCCTTTTCATTTTCTTTTTTTTTCTTTCTTTTCTTTTCTTTGGAACATTGGGGAACTTTTGGCTCCTCAAACTTTGCTACAATGGCTAGTCGCATGGGACTTAACCTCTTCCAGCTTTATTTTTCCTTCATAGGCGCTCCATTTG